TATATTTTAATTGTTTAAATCATCAATATCTCAAAGTGTTCCGTTTATTTCAAAATTCCAATGACTTTCAACAAACAAAAACTCACGTGAGGATTCAGAAGGACCGAGAGTGAAAACTGTGGCGACTGGCGAGATTCAAAGAACAATCTAGTTCTAAAAAGTAAAAGCTCCTTGGGAGCACTGAGCACTAAGCACCTATTTTTAGAACCCCTATATGTCGACACTATTTATGTCTTTTTATGAGCATATGGGCTATGGCTCTATGAGGCGCACCGAGTGAGCTGAATCAGCTGATGTCTCGTGCCTGAGATATCATAAATAGCCGCCCGACGGGTGATGTCGTGATGATTTCTGCAGTAAAACTATGGGGCCCTGCAACTGCGAGAGGCGTCAGGCGAGTGAGGCGACAGCCGACAGGCATCTAATTTAAATTTAGGCGTGATATTCCTGTTGGTTGTTACTTTTTGGCTGTTGCTCTTTGTTTTTTTTAAACAACACCAACTATGTATGCTATGTATGAAAAGACAGAGAAAAAGAGAAACCCATACTCTGCGAGTCACAGACTCACAGAGTATATTTTATAAGGCCCGGACGGCGGACGTGTGAACAGTGAGACAAACTCAGTGCACACTGATATTATTGTTTACCTAACTGGCTAGTAGTGGCTACTCTAGAAAGTAGAAACCTCGAATCACTCTGTATTTTGTTTGTTTTTTGTGCTACTTTTTCAAAGTTGATAAGGTTGTGGCCCTATCGAGGTCGAAACGGGTGTATATTGATTTGGGACATTTGTTCAAAGTTTACCTCTAAGGTGTCAGTTTTTATAAAATACAGTAGGTCAATTCAGTTTCATTTGCCAGTTTTTTTACCCGTATAATGTATTAACGTTCTAAAGCAATTTTTTTAATTGGTTGCTATATATATAAACGTTAAAAACTCGGATTGAGGTCATAATAGCAACAATTGCGGAAATGCCGCGTTCAGTTGTGCTTTAATTTTAACCCCCTGTTTATGCTTTCGAAATTTAGATCAAGCACACGAGAATTTAATTCACACTATGAGTATGCAGCTCGTATTTATTTATTTTATATCCCGTATGCTTCTACAATGGTAGTTGGTACTCGTAAGTCATAACTCAGACTGCTCAGTGCTCGCAGAAGTGGCCAAACAATCACGCTGAAAATTCCGAAAAGCGGAAAACACTTCAACAATCGTGACTTATTTCGAGTTTTCGACTTATTTGATCTTTTTTATTTTGTAAATGATTCAGAGTTTACAGACTGTAGTTTCTGGTCGTTGCTGCATAATGACAGCCACTTGTAGGGTTTCATGTGCGTGTAAGGTTCTGAACGACTGAGTTGTCGCCCTATAAAAGCCGATCGGTGATATTGACATGTGGCAGTCTGATAACGAAGAACAAAACGCAACTAAAACACAATGAAGTTCGCTACCATCGCCACTATTGCTGCTGTTGCTGTTGCAGTCAGCGCCCACTCGTACGATCAGGAGATCACGTGTGGTATTAAGGGATTCACTGGAAAATCATACGACGAGTCTAAGGTGTGCTGCGAGTATTCCGGCAATTGTGGAAAATTGTCCAAGTGCACTGAGAGTTTCTGCAAAGCCTCTGGCAACTCTGGCAGCAGCAAAAACGAGTACAAGATCACCTGTGCCGAGAAACGTGAACGTAACCCTGATGCCTTGAAGGGTCCCATCCACAAAAACAAGGAGTGCTGCCAGTGGTCTGGTGAGTGCGGCGACTTGAAGAAGTGTACCCAATCATACTGTGAGAAGGATGCCCAGTCATCTGATGTTTACAAGCGATCCGACTTCCAGTTTTAATTTGTTCATAACCTTAGAATTGGCGTAAATTGCAGTTGAACTGCACTTCGTTTTAAAGCAAGATATATTCTCATCCCCCTCCTGAGCCTATCTGGGATATGTATGGAAACTGTACAGTAGGAATACATCAAAATCAGAAAATTTGAAAGACTTATTCTGATATCATTCTTGGGATTGATACTGTCAGTTGCTAAAGATGCATTCTATGTATGTTGTAACTTCCTCGATGAGATTGGTACGCGGATACAATGGACCTGGAAATCAGGTTGATCCGTTTCATTAAAAAGAAAATTTAATATGTAGCGCAGGCCGCAGATGTAACAATTGCTTCCAGGAACCACCCAGTAGGAACGACTTTATTGTTCTTTCGGTTTTATTTGAATATTTGGAAACAGTTAATGTGCATTAACTATAGGCAACCTCTCAAACGGCATTGCTATGATATTATATGTGCCGGTATTATCAAAGGAAATATGAATATTAAATCTCTCCCAAAATCAACGAAAGGTCAAAACGTTTGTGGTGTGCAAATGGTTCGGTTTTCCAGTGGTATACACTGCATACTGCATGGTCATCTGTTGTGTGCTATTGTTTCATAAATTGACATTAGTGATTCAAAGCTTTTTGGTAAAAAAAATAAGTAAAACCCAAGCCCGAACCTAAACCCCAAACTCTGTGTATGATATAATTCGGTTGATGTGTATACAACCGTGATATTTTTATTGCACATTTGGTAAAAATACATACTCCATAAGAGAACCCCACTGCGATTCCAAAGTTCGTCGTAGAGAGGTTGGCTGGTGATTCCTTCGGGGACTCTTATCACACTAGACAATAGCGAGCATGAGCGAATTAGGTGACAATCTTGTGATGGCTTTGCCTGTTGCACAGAAGGTAAATTTAGGCAGCTATTTTATATGTGCTCATTTAGTCACGATAGGAAGCATTGTCAAGTGTGATTTGGTGTGATGACAAGTGCCATATTTGTGGGATGATGATGTGATGATTTTACGAATCTTAGACACGCTTCTATATTATCTATATATCAATTGTACCTGTCAATGAATTCATTACAATGTCTTGTACAACTATAGCTTCATCTGTCTGTATGTGCATGTGTAACCTGAACAAGAAATGATTTTCGAAGGCAAATTCGCTTACATATTTCATATGCATAGGTATACATAATTATTGTAAATCTGTGTATAAATTAAATGTCTATATAATATGCATATATGCACATATATTTATAACCATATATATAGTAGTATATATATATATATGTGTATGTATATTAGTTATATATAATATATATATAATATATATATAAATAATAATAAATATAATATATATTATTATATATTGTGTGTGTGTGTGTGTGTGTGTGTGTGTGTGTGTGTGTGTGTGTGCACGTGTATGTAGAAAGCACATCGCTTTATTTGTCAGTACACCATGGTTTTACTGTTTTGGACATAACACTACAAGGTCATACGGCCATAGACATACATGCATCCTCGATAATGCAGTTATTATGTCTCTGAGTTGATGTATAGCTAATTTCTATTATTGTTCCCAGAAATAGATCCTTTTTACTGACATTGATACATATTTAAATATGTCTATATAAATACTTCCATGCTGACACATATACATGCCGAAATATGTCCTTATAGATACTTTCATACTGATACATATACATGTTTAAATACATCCTTACAATTACTTTTATACTGACTCATGTGCATGGTTAGATATGGTGATATAGATACTTTTATACTAACTCATGTACATGGTTAGATATGGAGGTTTAAATATTTCTATACTTACTCATGTGCATTGAAGTAGATGTATACTATTACGATGATAGTACATATAGATACTTTCATACTGACTCATGTGCATTGAAGTATATGTATACTATTACGATGTTAGTATATATAGATACTTTTATACTTACTCATGTGCATTGAAGTAGATGTATACTATTACGATGATGGTATATAGAGGTACTTTCTTATAAGAACATATGTCCTCGCAGGAAGAAATTGAGAACAAAGCAACCCCCGACAACGTGATGGAATCTGTCGGGGATGAGAAAGTGGACCATAAACAAGAGGTGGATGGTGCTGGTGACATATCAGAACAAGAAGGAGCCTCGGTAATCACAGGGGAATGGGAGGGAGTTAGTGAACATGAACAGAGGATAATGGACTATGAGCAACAGAATGACCCTCACGAGCAGCCGAAGTGTGAACTGGACAATAATCGAGGGGTCGAGCAAGCGGCAGGTAGGTTCACTGGTATTGAGATCGTGATAATCGAGAGGTGGACTACTGGCGAGCGCACAAATGTGGATGTAGGGAGCGACCGCCATCGAAGGACGTTGAATTACTATTTGGTTGTAGTTTCTTCTTCTTCTTGACTGCTATACACTGGCTGTTTCTTTGTCTACATTTATTGCATCGCTTTGGTGGCACTCGTCTTTGACCTTTTGCCGTGTGTCTTCCAGGAGATGAAGTGATCTCTGCACAAGCTGTCGGTGACGCCAAAGCGGTACATACCGGGACGAGTACTGGGGTGCACAATGTGGGCCCAAGCGAAGCGACAGGAAGTGTTAAGGACGAATACTCTCATTATATTGTGGCCGAACTAGAAGCGCTAGCGTTGAAAGAGGTGTGTGTATTGTGTATATATATGTTTATAATATACGTATATATATATATATATGTGTGTGTGTGTGTGTGTGTGTATATATATATATATTATATATATATATGTATATATATATATATATATGTATGTATGTATGTATGTATGTATGTATGCATGTATGTATATAGTGTATATATG